AAGCATTATTCGAGACAAGCAAAAACTACAGAAGAAAAACTTCAGTTTTGCATTATTCTTATCAGTAAATAGAATATTTAATTCGAATAAAAAACCAATCAACTGTCTCTTTGTTTTAATCAGTGAATCGCACCGGAGGTGCACTCACCAAAAGTGATTTGACAGCTGCAAATAAAAAATATGCTGTAACTTTAATTTACCGGAATCCATATGGGTAGAAGACTGACGGACTCAGTGGAATATTACCGTCGTGAAAAATGTCGCCAAGCCGCTTATGCGTCCTGAAGAAAAAAACTATAATTTTTACACTGGATTTCCAAAGAACTCCAAAACGGTGCTCACAAGTCACGTATAAGTACCGAAACGTCGGTAAACAACAAAATAAGATTAAACAAGGAGACGAAGAAATACCAGGCTGCAGCAATTTGGCCAAAATTATATTACAAATGGTCAGTTACATCAATGTAATAAAAATCTCACACATGTTCACGACTTAACCATTTTGTAGGATTACAAAGAACAAACTATAAAATGAGACTTCACACTGAAATATCGCCGTGAAAAACAACCAAAACTTTGCCATACTTAGTTCTGAAGCAACACCCGAACAAATGCACCACTGATTTCTGTAACAGTGTAATATGCAAATGAAAATGGAATTGCAGAAAAATTTTCCGGAAATGTATGAAGATGAGTACATTTTAGCATTACACAAATAATAAAAAGTGAAATTGATCTATGCAAAACGATTAAATTTTTATCACTATCATAGTGAAAGCCTATCAAAATCAATTCTTGAATCGAGCAAAAAAAAAAAAAAAACTTGAAGAAAGTTTACCAGTTGATATGGGCATTCAGAAAAAAATAAATAAATGTAATTGGGAGTAATGATTTTGGGCAGCAAAAAGCATATTTCTATACTTCAGATTGACAAACAAAAAACTTGCACTTACGCATTTCCATCAGCACAGAAAATGTTCGCCGGCATATACACACACACACACACACAGTTGTATGAAGTTCCAGAAAAACGTAGCATATAATCTTAAAATCAATCAATGTAATCAAATATTAATAAGTGGAAGAAAAATGTGATTAAAGAAAGTTGACTTTTTCATGTTAAAATTTTTTTTTTTTTCACTCGATATATTAACATTTTTAACCAAAATATAATTTACAAATTTGTGATTATCAATTTTACTACCCCCATTGATTTTTACACAGCGCCAATCAGTGCAATTAGTCAACTGATTCTCATAGTCTGCAGAAAAAAAAAAGCTTAGTCAACATCAATTAATATAAACGGAATTCTAAATTACAAAAGGAAACAAACTTCTTTGTCCTTGCTTTTTTTTTTTTTGTCGTCTGACCTAAACAAAATTACAATAAGTGTATAAAAATAAATGCACTAACCGGACATCGT